ATTACCTCTCTGAAAGTGATATCAAAGGGCTGGGCGGTTTTTTGCGGGGTTTTCCAAAAACGCGCCATACGTTTCAGACCTGAGATATCCACTTGGTATCACAGGTATCGTACATAGCATCTTCTGATTGCTGAGTGCACCCTGCAAAAAGAGTTGAAATTGTTGTTTCCCCTGGATCCAATGTTGGCCTGGCCTAAGTTCTGAATAAGTAACGAGGAGTCAGCAGGGTCTGGTGAAAACATGCCTCATGGTCCATGTATAGGATTGGCTTCGTCTTGAATTCACAGATCTCTTACGGGCCGAGTCACTAGTGAACAAGAAGCCCGCGCTGGATGTGGTGCCAGTTCTCAACATACCTCTTAGACTATGGCGGATGTTCGATGCAACCTCATATTCTCTTCAGACCTGTTCTTAGATAGATTGGCCAACTACTTTTGGGATCAACGCATTCCAAGCCGGCTGGAGACTTACTCAACGCTACAAATTCTTTCAGTCCACCTCAAGCAGTGCGGGCCCAAATTGCCAAGTTAAACATTGAGTCGAATTGGCATGCGGAAGAAACTTCATGGCCTTCGCTTCAGTTACGTGCCCCGAAGTACATTGTATAACTACAAAGATGAACGGCCTGACAAACCAGCCAAGCAGATTTCTGGCCCAGGACCTCAAGGCATGGTTGGTATTGATCCACAACACCCAGACCACGCTGCATCTCCTTCTGTTTCCCTCCACCAAGCCATCAGCAGCAGCAAACCTGAAGCCTTGCCGCCCAACTAACAAACTACTACTTCCCTTGTTCCATTTCCCTTGTTGCGCAAACAACCTTTCCTCAAAAACCATCAAGCCAAGGTCCCCTCTTTAACCAGAAACACAGCACTGCCACTCCCCGGCCGACTCACCACCACAGCCGCTTCCTTCTGCTCCTCGCTCAGTGTCAGGGTACTGTAGTACTCGCGCTCCCAGGCCTCGCGCACGGCAGCCACCTTGTCAGCCGGCACGAGGTGCACACTGCACCCGCCCCAGCCGGCGCCCGTCAGCCGGCTGCCATAGGCGCCTGCCTTGCGCGCGATGGTGCAGAGAGTGTCGATCTCGGGGCAGGAGCACTCGTAGACGTCGCGGCAGGAGGCTTGGGTCTCGTTGAGGAGGGCGCCGAGGCGGACGTTGTAGGCTTCTGTTGATTCTGGATTGGTACCAGTGGTGATGGGGTCGGTCTCGAGCAGGGCGAGGAACTGCAGCACACGCAAGGCTTCGCTGTAGACGTGCAGGGCACGTTGACGGAGCTTGAAGCGCTCGGCGCGGACGGGGAAGCGGGAGGTGAGTGTAGCGTCGAGCTCGGATACGGTCATGTTGAGCACGGATGCGATCTCCTCGCGTGTGTAGCCCTCGAGCTTGGTGAGGGTCTTGGATGTCAGGTAGATCAGCTCGGTCAGCTGGTCCGAGACGGACTTGCTTGAGGTCGCGCCTGTACTGTGCTCCTGCAGGGCAAAGTAGGTCTCGTGAAAGCCGTGTAGGCTGATGCCCAGCGGGGCGGCATCGCTGGGGAGTTGGGTGCCAGGCGGGTTGAGCACGGCATTGAGATAGGCCGCCGCCAGGCTGCACTCGACAACGCGCAGGTTGTAGTGGATGGGCCCGGTGACGAACTTGTCCGAGGTGACGAAGGATTGGGCAATGAGGAAGGTAAGCTCAGGCCTCGTCTTGGGAAAGTGCACCGGACGAGCCTTGAGGGTTGGAGCGAAGGACACAAAGAGGGCAGAACCGCGCTCCGAGAAGACCGAGGCGGACTGGTCCATACTACAGATATATTAGGCTGAGTGACTTGGTAAAAGAGGTTGTTTGGTAAACCTACCCGCCAGAGTTCACACCCACCGCCCGCTCACTCACAATCGCCAGCTCCGTCAACTCCTTTTTGTCGACGGTCGGCTCGCCGTTAGCCACCATAACGGCCAGCGCGCTGGCACTGACAAAAGCCGCACTCGAGCTCAAGCCGCCGCCCGCGGGCACGGTGCCATCCATCAGGATGTTCATGCTCTTGGGCCGGAAGCCCTCCCCATGCTTCTTGCGCAGCAACTCCAGCGCCCCACGCAGGCCCGACTTGAAATAGTTTGTCCATTCGTGCACCGTGGCGTCAATTTCCACAGCATCGTACGCAATGTCGAACTCGTGCGAGGGGAACTTCTCAGCTTGCATGTTGGCGATCTTGATCTTGAAGGTGCCGTCCTTGGTCGGAGTGAAATCGGCCGAGACAGCGAGCAGGGCGTCGGCCGTGATGGCCATGGGCAGCACCGAGTACAGCGAGTAGTCGATGTGCTCGCCAATGATGTTCACCCGGCCCGGGGACCGCGACACAAACTCGGCTTCATGCCCGTAGATCGACTCAAACTTGGCCAGCAGATTGTTCCATCGCTTGGTCTGCGCCGGCAGCGCATCCGGAGTGTAAATGTCGCCCAGTGAGCGGGCAACAGGAACCGGACCGGCCATTTTCCTCCAGTGGGATGTTGTGTCGGAAACGCAACAAGATTGAAGAATGACAATGGATATAGATGGAGCTGGTGGTCTGTGGCAAGGATGTCACTGTATCCGATTTTATGGTGGTCGGACTTCACAGACGGACTTCAAAGGTTGCCCCGCACTTTTGTGCATGGAGCCACGCACGGAATCGGTGTTGTTGAACACGGCCCTAGATGCAGGATGGGGACACTGGAGATCAAATGGATAAACATGTCTCACGTCCATGCTGGAGCAACTCGAAGCCCAAGGGGTTCGTTGACGAAATGTGGGCTCTCAATCCCCCACCTTTATCACGAGGACAGCACGGGATGGAATTCCCAATCAGGCAGGACTGTCTTCCATCCTCCTTTCCTCTTCATACTTCTTTTTCTTGAATATCTCCAGATCTCCTGCTTCCGCTGCTCCTTTCTGTCCTCCTTTAGCCTTCTGAATCACTTGCTATAGTTTTCCATAGGGAAGGACATGTGGAGGAAGAGAGCCCTGAAAATCATAACTGCCTGGACATCCACCGCGAAGAACACCATCCTACAATGGTCTGTCTCTATAGAGAAGCCTGTGGCTCATGTCCTCGTCGGTCGTGTCAGCAGAGACATGCAGCTTATCATGAGCGACAACCCCGCCTGTCCTACAACTAGCAATCGAATTGGCAATGTTGGTTTCGACCCCATCTGAAGTGACATTGCTCACAGTCGTGTGAAAGATGCACTCAGTTCGAGCAGGAGAAAGAAAAGGGTACCCGGCAATGATTCAATGCTCAAACCACATGGTATCCATTCATCCACTATGTACAGCCCACCATCACCATGATAGTGCGACGCAAAATAAAGCGAGGCCCAACCCAGGCTTGCTCGCAAACAGAACCAAATCCTACAGCGGATCTGCAACCAAACTTTTGCTGACCCGAAGATGCATTTCGAATGTTTTGGCTCAGATGGCCAGTGACCAGGTTTTCCGGTCCGTTTCCGCAACATAAGCAAAGAGAAACTTAGAAGAGCAAGAAAAAGAAAGGCAGATTAAGAGTATAGCGAAAAATCCCGGTCAGGCGACCTGCTTAGCCGTGACGACCGCCGGTCCGTTCCCGCATCCGCTCTCGCCTCTCTTTGTCCTTGGCTGTTCGCGTCGTTAGCTAGTGCAACTTCGAGGCAGAACGTCCGAAGTACGTACCACTATCCCAGGTAATAAACTCGTGCAAAGCAGACCCGGCAGGAACCATGGGAAGGACAGGCACCTTCTTGTCGGTGACAACCTCAAGCAGGGCCGGCCCATCCGTGTTGATCAGCCACTTGAGGGCCTCGACGGTCTCGTCCGGCTTAACCAGGCGCCTGTGCTGCACACCCATAGCATCCGCCAGCTTCATGAAATCCGGGTTCTTCTGGTGGGTGTGCGAGTAGCGGTCCTCGTAGAACAGGTTCTGCCATTGCGTAACCATGCCCTGCTCCTCGTTGTTGAGCACAATGACCTTGACGCCAATGTTAAACTGCGCGGCTGTCGACAGCTCAGTCAGGGTCATGGCGAACGAGGCATCACCGTCAATGTCGATGACCAGAGAGTCGGGCTTGGCCACCTTGGCGCCGATGGCAGCCGGCAGGCCATAGCCCATAGTACCGAGGCCGCCGGACGTGATCATGGACCGCGGGTGGCGCCACCGGAAGTGCTGAGCCACCCACATTTGGTGCTGGCCGACGCCGGTTGAAATGTACGTATCGTTCTTCCGGTCAGCCGTCAGGTTGCTCAGCTCCTCAATAAGCGTCTGCGGCTTGATCAAGCCCGTGCGCTCGGCCCGCTCATAGTGGTTGAGGGGCCACTTCTTCTTCCACTCGTTGATCTGGCCGAACCACTCCTTCCTGTCGGCCATGGTCTTGGCCTCTACGTGTGGCAGGAGCAGCTTCAGATTGGCGGCGATGTCACCCTCGAGGGCCTCGGTCGCCTGAACAACCTTGTTGATGTTCTTTGGCAGGATGTCGAAGTGGATGATGCCGCCGCGTCCTTCCTTGGCAGCAGCCCGGGCGGCCGGGGCGAACTTGGCAACGCTGCCGGTCACACGGTCATCGAAGCGCCCACCAAGTGCAATGATTAGATCTGACTCTTGCATTGCCATGTTGGCATAGGCGGCTCCGTGCATACCCAACATGTGCAGCGACTTCTCGTCCAATTCATCGAATGCGCCGAGGCCGTGCAGGGTGGTGGTGACCGGGAGGGAGGCCTTATCCGCCAGAGCCCTGAGCAGTTCCGGGCCGCCCTCCGAGCAAACGACGCCTTGGCCGGCATAGATGACAGGCTTCTTTGCAATGTTGATGAGGTCGGCAACGCGGCGAATTGAGGCGTTCAGCTGCCTTTGGGAAAGCTCAAGGGCGGCACGGGACGCGGCGCTGGGGATGGTAGGAATGGCGGATTCGGTGGGAATGGCTCTCCGGAGAACACCAGCTGTGATATCCTTTGGAAGATCAACGAGAACCGGGCCGGGCCTTCCGCTGGTGGCAATCTCAAAGGCCTCGTTAATCCTCCGGGGCAGTTCGGCAACGCTCTTGACCATCACGTTCCACTTCGTGCACGCCCGGGAAATGCCGATCACGTCTGCTTCTTGAAACGCATCGCTCCCAATTGCAGAGGTGACGACCTGGCCGGAGAAGACCACCATTGGCGTGCCATCAGCGAGAGCATCGGCCATCGGGGTAACGACGTTGGTAGCGCCGGGACCCGACGTCACCAACACAACACCAGGCTTTCCAGACGCGCGGGCATAGCCCTCAGCCATGTGACCGGCGCCTTGCTCGTGTCTCGGGAGGATAAAGTCGAAATGGGGCGAGTTGTAAATCGCATCGAACACGGGGAGGATGGCACCACCAGGGTACCCGACTGCAGCAGCACGGGTCAGTCAGGGTCCAAAATACTGGGACGAAACAGCGGCAGACGCACAGATGTGCTTCACGCCATGCCTGAGCATCATCTCGTGAAAAATCTCTCCTCCAGTCTTCCCAATGAACCTATGCGGGTCTGTGTCAGTCACCGCGCGACAGGCGAGAACCGGCGGGTCATCGGAGGTGTGCAACATACGATTCGTCCATGTCGTTCTTCCGAGGGTTGACGAGGGGCTGAACATGGCTTCGGTCTTTTGGCGCAGCATTGAATGATGGGCTAGGCTTCGGCCGTGCCTCGCTGTCGAGTACACAGTTAGCCGGTGCCCGTCTAGCTGTGAGTCACGCATAACCACCCGCGAGGAGCCCAGCAAGAAGACGGTACTTACGTCGCAGTAGGTGTTGGGGCAGCTGTAGTCGACTGATTCCTGACGTTGGTGGTTGGGCTGTTGCGCCGCGCCGTCACAGAGGCCCTTTGGACGGTCGTGAGAGCTCGTTGTTGGCTGGGCCGAGGTTCGGCAAGCCCCTTGAGGGCGCGCGCGGTCTGACGGAGCATGATGCACGGAGGAGCGGAAAGGAGACCAAATCACTGTGTGGAAGGATCGGGGAGACGTAAAAAGAATGAGACGTAACAGTTAAAACTGCTACAGATTGAATAGCGCAGTGAAGGCAGAGTGGTTCATGAAAAAGGCGAGCAGTCAATGGGCTCCACGACTTTCAAGTCTGGCGTTGTATAGGGGCCTTGACCCTGGAGAACAGTCACTCTGGGGTAACTATGAGTCGCTCTGGGTCTCAAATTTTCGACCATCATTGTGGGGTAATGGAACGGCGAGAACGGTAAGCGGGTGCGCACGGATCGTACGGCGATCTCTAGTGGCGATGTCGGAGCCGGCAGGAGCACCCGATGCTCGTGGCAGCCAAACATGCCCAGCCATCGAAGGCGACCTCAACTTTTCACGTCCTAGGTTGCCTAAATTTCCGTATTGGCAGAAGCAAAGTCCTGAATGAATCTCGATGACCTTAGAAGCTAAAGCTAAATCCGTCGTTCAGATCATCATCCTGATACCTGTTCATGACCCTATTCATCCAATGCCAACCCGCTGGTCTCCTCGTCGCTGCGTGGCTGGATTCACAGTTCGCGGGCGACATCGCGGGCCAGACCTTGGTGGGCCAGGTGTTTTGGTCGTTGCGGGGCTGCAACGCCGACCAATTGCGGCCGGTCAGAATCTTCTGACCGGCGTCAGATTTGTGTGGCGGTCTCGCTGCAGTTGCCTCCCAGCCGCCATGCACGTACATACAAGTTTGCCAGATGTGAAGGCGACGCTAACAGTATTTCATCCCATCCTACCGCCCAACAGAGTTCATGCTCTACTGATTTCTTTGTAGAGACGAAGTTAGCGATTTGATGACTGGGCTCTGAGGCGCTCCAAGGACTATGTACAGTTACGGAGTACACTTCGTTATTCTTGCGGCAACCCAGCGCGGCGCCAGATTTGGTGGCGCGGCTTGCGGAGCTAGGGCGGAGCGGGGCCAGCATGCGGCACTCCCCGGGCGGCCCACCGACATGTGTCAACCGGGAACAAGCCGGTCAGAACGAACAATGCAAGAGTTGAGATGACTCTTGCCTTCCCAGAGCAAGCGATGCGGGTGTTTCAGAGCTTTCCTAGAAGCTTTTGAAACTCCCGGAATAAAACGTTCTGGAGACGCCGGCAGCGGCCACTCCGATTCCCGGCCGCGGAGTAGATCCGGACCCGAAGAACTGGGCCGCAGGGCTCCGTGGTCCGCGGTCCACGGTGGGAGCTCCGCGGCACCAGGCTCCGGCGAATACGGCGCTAAGTCTGCAGATTCACTAGTGAACAAGGCCCATTTTAATTCAACACTATCATCAGAAAGGACCAAAACGACTCGACATCAAGTCCGCCACGAAACGGGTACGGTAGATGAAGATGAAGCAAGATACGCTATACAAAACAGTGCTGGGCATACATAGGAATACCTAGGAACGCTTATGAACCGAAGGGAGGCATATAATCTGTTAGAGCTCGCTTGCGGCGCCCCAATCCCCTCACGCAAAAGACATCAACCAAAACGCCCTTCCAACTAGAGATATCTATCCTCCTACGCGTGTATGTCGAGTGCTTTGCAAACATCCAGTATCCTTTGCCGCTCAAGTAAATCGGTGATTACATACCATCCCTGCAAGCAGGGAAAGAAGCGAGAAACGCCATGGTTAGCCCTTGTCCTTAAAGCACTTTGGTGGTTGTATTATTGACTGCTGGGGAAATAAGCTTCTGTTGGGGCAAAGTTTTTGTTCGTGTGAATTTAGGGAGGTGCAGGTAGGAGCAACCAAAGGAGTTGGCGCAGTGAGCTAGAGAGAAAAGAAGAGAATCCACGTACAGCAGAGCCAGCGTCAAATCACCATGGATATGCGCCTTTAACTCAATCTCGACCTCGAGGTTGAGATCCAGCCGCAGCTTGAGCGGGTTCTTGCCGCCGCCGCCGCCCTGCTGCTGCTGCATCTGCATCTGCTGTTGTTGCTGCTGCATCATCATCTGCTGATGGCGCAACTGCTGCTGGTAGGCCGCGTCTTCGCCGTAGTCGTCGTCATCTTCCGAATCTTCGTCGTCGCTGTACCGGTGCCGGCGACGGCGACGGCGGCGCTCCACCTGCTGATTCTTGGCGGCGGTCCCTTGCTTCTGCTTCTGCATCCACTTGGGCTGTGTCGCCTTCTCTTCGTCCTTGGGCGTGGGAGGCTGCGAGAGCGCTGGGCTGTCCTCTTCTTCGTCCTCTTCCTCTTGTTGTTGTGGTTGAGGGGCCGGGTATGCTTCGTCGCCTTCTTCTTGTTCTTCCTCTCCTTCTTCTTCTGGTTGTTCCTCTTCCTGATCTTGGTCGGCGCCTGACTGGTTGTAGTCGTCCTCTAGCACTCGCTGGTTCTCGCCATCGGGATCCTCCTCGTCGTACTCCTCGCCCTCGTCGCCATCGACCTGGTCCTCTTGGTTTTGGATGATGTTGTCCTCGCACTCGTCATCTTCGGCGGTGGTGTGATGTTGCGGCTGGTCGGGCTGAGTGGTCTGTTCCGACCTCTGCTCCCCTTCCTCCTGGCGAGGGAGTTGCTCGTTTGGCTTGTTCTGAGGTTGTCACACTGTTAGGCATTCCTGTTGGTAAAGTGTCCATGCTTGGAGTTGGGTCCTACCGATGACATATCTGCGGAGTTTCTGCTTCGTTATTGTGATGTGTGTACTGCTGAAGTTTAAATGACCCAGGTGTTGTTGAGATGGTAATGATGGAAGTCGGGGCCAGACGCTTAAAAGACGACCAGTTCTACGTGGTTTTTCAGGTGCCAGCCGGATCAGGAGACCCTCATACATCATTTGAGTCAAAAATCAGGGTTCTTCTGTGCCTTGCCCACCCATATCACGCTGTCCATACGCTGGTGACGACTGGCTGGTCAACACTACCGTTTCGGCGCTGGAAAACGGAACCCTATGACCTGGAGCACCGTAATGTTGGACCAAAGCATTCTCGACGACAAGCCTGAAGGCTATGACGTCGAACTGCATGACCTGTCTGGTAACGGAGCAATCAGGAAAGTAAGAAGAAACAAGCTTTTGTAGAATGTAACGTAAGACGAGCATGAGCCAACGAGGCCGAGAATGGGCATTGTTCAGAAAACCGGATTGGAGAATCTCAAAGGGGTTCATGCCCAAGTCCAGGACCGAGCGAGCCACAGCAGGGGATCGTGGCGAAAAACACTGTGCTATTATGACGAAAGTTGTGAACGAGCGTCTTTTGCGAGAGAGACAGAGAGAGCCCAACATAAAGGCAAGCCGAGTTAAAACACGCGACGAAGCAAGGGAACAATCATCAACACTCAGATCAACGATAAACAGACCATGCCGATAGGTTTGCTGGTGATCGCAGGGATCCCGACGACGATTGGTGTTTGCGAGGCACTGAGCGCGCAGAAGAAGGCGAACGCTGCAGCAAAGGAGAAAGCCAAGTTCCACCTCACCACCACCGTTTCCCTCGATGGACGGGGTCCAGTCGAGTGCTGGTGCGTCCTGAAAGACGGGCAGGTCAGTTTTGCTTGTTTGCCATCCGTATACCTGCAATATCCTTGTGTTTCGATGGGCGTTGTGAGATGAACCTTGAATGCAGAGGAAAACTGACGACTGCAATGGAACTGCAGCTCTGGATCGACCACCCGGCCTTCCCCATGCCGGGCCACAAGTTCACGGGTTACTACTTCACGTACCCTTCCGAGGCGCAACAGCTGGGGCTCGTCAGCACCATCGCCGACGACCCGCCCATGCTCAACTGGATATTTGTCGACAAGGACAGCGGTATGGTGCGGCACGGCGGCCGGCAGGCCACGCTGGGCGGGCACATGGTTGGGCCGTGGTACTGGACCGATGACGAGCAGTGGTTGACGCTCGAGAAGGATCCGTCCCGGTTTGTGGCCGTCCAGATGGAAAATAAAAAGTGGGCTATTGCGTGGGATCTGGATGGAAATTGCAGCAGCAAGGGTGGTGGAAGTGGTGGAGACGTTGAAGCGAGCGGAACGGATTGTGAGACGGAGACAGGAAACCAGCAGCAAACGGCGGGTGAAAACGGACAGAAGACCACGCCCCGTCGTCCACGAAAATGGGTCCCCATCATGCTTCACCGGAAGATGCAGTTGGGCATGGAGAGTCGCTATGTCAAGGGAGCGAATGGATGAAGCTGCATGATGACGACGCGCGAGCGGATGTGACGTTTTGTTGGTGTGGTGTGTAACTGTCCTGTCTGTCTTGGCTGTGGTGAGTTTCTTCTGTGAAACTGATGTTGAGGAGAGGGGTTGGTGCGTGTAAGTCGGGGAACCGAGGCTCCGCCAATGGCTGCGACAGCGATATCCAAGCAATGCAAGTTCATGCGACCACATTGAACCAGGCGTTCATCCAATCTCATGACTTGCCCGCGTACGCGAGATGGGGCGGTGCCTGGTGCTAAACTTGGACAAATGTGTCGGCCTTGGCCCTTTTGAAATCGCCCGATGACTTCATGCTCAAGGCCTCATTCCGATCCGGTTTCGTGGGCGAATGAACTGTGGGGGAGTGAGATGCTGCCGTCAAGTTAATAACCCACCCTCCCGGGCCGTATAGGACCCTTAAACCACAACTTCAATCACCCATTCAGAGCATCAACCTGCATCTCCAAAGACTCTCCTCACTTCACATAGCCCTCTAGTCCTAAACTTCTTCCTTGTAAAAACAAAACCCAACCACACACATACATACAATGGCCTCCCGAAGCGGGTCCGAGGAGAAGAAGCCGCGTCGGCAGCCACAGACGCAGACTTACGAGTCGGAAGGCGAAGAGTCGGAGGAGTACCAGCCCCAGCCCCAACCTCCTGCGAGGAGGAGACGCAACCAGCGGCAGCAGAGGGGCGGCCAGCAAGGCCCCCTCGACAGCCTCGCCCTGGACAATGTCACCAACACGGCCGGCGGCCTGGTCAACTCGGCGACAGGCGTGCTGGGCGGTGTCGCCGGCAACGCCGTCCAGGACCAGGGGGGTAAGGGCAAGAGCGACACCCTCCGGCTCAGGCTGGACCTCAACCTCGACGTCGAAATCACGCTCAAGGCAAAGATCCACGGTGATCTGGAGCTTGCTCTCTTGTATGTAGCCATATTTCCTTGTTTGTTTGTCCCCTTTTTCCCCCCACCCTTCCTTCTATTATTAGTGTCTGGCGTGCAAAAGGAAACTTCACCCTCAAAATGCCGACGCGGATCTTCAGTCTCTAGAACAAGTGTCTCGACAATCCCTTTCCTACCTTGTCTTCCCAATCGCCTTTTTCTTACCCGAGGCTAAAGGTCGATGTAGAGAAACCTGAGCAGGCGATACTCAGCTCTCTGGGGATGCGCGCCGTTCTTTTTTTTAGGGGGAGAGGCTGGGGAGGAACTTGCGGATAGCGGCTGCGTATAGGGGCTAATTCCTTAGGAACTGAAGCAACTAGAAGACGCCCCCGCGTGCCCGAGGGCTCATCCATTCTTCGTTCGTGTACAAGGGTTGGCTTCGGAATAGAGCCACTATACGGGTTTGCATTCATTGTTTGGGGAATTGGGTTGGTTACGGTATCTTAGTTGGCGAAAGGGCATGAAATTCTGGCGGTGTCATCAATTCATGAGGGTTTCAATTCAAATGCATCAATATACGGCGTACCAGAGTTAAGGTATCCAAAAACATCCTGCTCGTGGTAGTCCTGTGTTGGATATGTCCAAGTCCGCTGGCCCGGTGTCGGTTGGCCCTTCGCCCTTGAGCAGGTATTATATTAACCCGAGTTCTCAGAAACGGTTGCCTGACCATGGCATTCCCGATAAGAGCTCGCTTCGAGGTCATGCAGCATCAAAGAGGCGGCCCTGTGAGACTCGAGTTCCGGGTCGACGATCATGCAAGTAGTCACCCCACCTCCCACGGCGGAGCATGTTCAACTATGATGTCATCCAATCTGTCGGAAACGACCAGGACATGAGCATACCCTGATGGCAGAAGGTGTGTTTCGTTCCGGCTCCGCGCGTAATCTGTACCACATGTGATACCGAGCAATGTGCGATCCTTCTGCAAGTTGGGGAATTGTCGAATGCTACAATCCTGTTCAAAAGAAGAGTTGAACCTAGAGAACCAGACAGTTGTTCATGACGTCATAGCGTCCCCTCAGCCCACTTCAAACGCACCCCCCGCGGGCTATCGCACAACAGAACCCTTGAGGCGAGGCTGGATCAACACAGAGGTTCTGGACTCGAAGTTCTAGACTCTCACCCCACGATTTTTGAGCTGCCCTGATTATCAGCGGAGGTGTCTTCGGGTCGGACAGCAGCAACCCACAACCTTGGAGAGCAACACGGGGTAAACCGAAGCTGGTGGCACGAAGCGGAGTCAGCAGATACAAGGGATAAACTCGGAAAGTAGCCGCCGATTTATCATGGCTTCCGAACATCAGTCCGGGCGTCCATCTCACGAAGTAGAGCAAGACGACAACATCGCCGCTGAACGCGGAGGCCAGAGTGATACCAACAACGCTCCCGTCCAGGCCACAATTCGGCACAAAGATGCACCCGAGCGCCCAAGGAGCCCGGCCTATGTGGCTCCCATTCCCAAGATAGGCGGAATCCCGCAAGTCACACCTGGAATACCAGTCTCCGACTCGGCCCGACCACAACTTCCGTCCTCTATCGCCTCTCTTCTCGTCGGAAAACTGGTAGACGAAGACGGCGATATTATAGACGAGAAGACAGGCCAGGTCTTGGCCCACGCCGCCGGCGACCTGCCGTCCATGGTCGGGCGGAAGGTATCAAACACCCAAGGGGACATCCTGGGAGACGACGGCGAGCTGCTGGGCTATGTCGCCGACATCGAGTGGCCCAGAGCCGGGCCACCACCGCCAGCAGCACCGCCACGCAGCCTGTTTGACCTCATGGGCCGCGCAAGAAGCTCCCTGATGGTGGATCACGCGGGCAACATCCTTGACGCGGACGGGAACGTCGTCGGCAGGTTCCACGACAACAACAACCCCCTGCACCGCAAGGAGAAGGAGGAGCGGGAGGCCCGTGAACGGATGCAGACTGGAGGACAAAGACCGCAACCAGTAGACCAGCAGGCGGGAGGAGGGGACGGGCAGCAGGGGTCCCCGCCCCCGACGCCATCACCGCAGCCGCAGCATCAGCAACAGCAGGACCAACACCAGGAGCAGGAGCAATCCCAGCCACAGTCACAGTCTCAGCCGCCTGGTGGCGAGGATCAGTCAATGCCGAGGCGGACCGAGGGGGAGAGGAGGCAGAACGCAGAGGCTTGGAGGAAGGAGAACCCCAACGAGAGCCCGTCGGATATCTTTTTGGATGTCAAGTCGACGAGGGAGGGCATCCAGTTGACAATTCGGATTCCAACTGTCTTCAACGGTCAGCAGACCACGCCGCACATTTCGTTTTCCTAGGAAACTGAGAACATGACTCGACTTGGAGTGCCACAGCACAACGCTCTTGGGTGTCACAGGACGATGAACAAAGAGCGATAGGTTGATAGTTGAATCGCGGGGTTGGACCAAGATACCCCAGAGTCCAGGGATAGGAAATATTCGACATGTACTTAGTTTTGAGAAGCGTTGAACGGTTTAAATCGGCCCAAACCGAGCTCATTTTGACGCTGATGATGACAATCAATGGCTCAGAGCACACCAACACTTGAGTACCAGCTCACTCGAACCGAATCAGGTTAAAGGGGCGAGCGCAGGTGCTGTGGTAAGTGTGTGGGAGAACGCATCACTGGGAAAACTTGATCGGGGAAAAAGCAGGATTTTGGGGAAATCTTAGAGGACCGAGTGCCACAATCAAGCCATACCAGCCTTCGGATGACGTCTGAAACGGGCATCTGCCTTACACCGAGGTCGGCTCTCGGTCCTCTGTGGTTGGGGCCCTATTCATCATCCCTCCGCGGTCCATCCCACACAGCGGGAGAGCATCAAGTCCGCACTACCTTACACTGATACGTCGCGAAACGGCCGGGTGGATATCGTTAGCGGAAGCCTCAGTCACATTTCCCATACCGGTAAGGCACCGCCTGCTTTGTCCCAGCTCTTGAACCTGCCTTCCATGCCATGCCCTCATCACGTAGGCACCACTCAAGCACCATCAGTCAACGGAGAAATATCCAAACACAGTACAGCTCACTAACACGATACGTAAGTTTGGTTAAGCGAGCTTGGGTACGCCAAGGATGCAGAAGTTGCTGTACTCCTATTGGGGGATGGGCGAAACATGAGATCATCCCGCCTCCCTCGTGGCGACCCACGTACATGTAAACGGTCGGACGATCAAGGGCAGATTCAAGGTTTAACAAACCGTTAAGGTTGATTACCCCCCCTCCCCAGCCCAAGATGCATGAAGTCCATGTTTGAAAATACATGCCCAATGAACGCCCACCCTCCTTGCGAAGAATTCGTCCTCCTTGACGTAACCCTCTCCGGATGACGTTGAAGAGCAAGAGAGGAATCTTAGAGGGGGAGGGGGTCGCTTTCCTGTGGCGTCAGGTCGTTCAAGTCCATGTAGGGGAGAAGAAGACTGGATGTGCATAAGAAGGGGTTGGTGACGGGCTGGCTGCTGAGAAGAAAACGACCCTGAAAATAGTCTAGAACAAAGCAGATCATCGACAATAACAGCAACTTTCTATATTCTTCCACACGAATATCAAAAAAGACATACCCAAAGTACCCCATATCCCATTTTGAAACCCACCTTTTACCAGCCCAAGACCCCCCCAAAATGAGCAACGTCGGCGCCGAGAATACCCCGCCGGGCTCATGGCCCTCCCCACATTGCGAGTCCGGAGAGGGCGCACACGGTCAGTCCGCTGCGACCCCGCGCTCGCAGCCCGTCGTGCCCGAGTACCATGGCGTTGACGGCGGGAACTCGGGTGGAGCAGACTCCCATAGCGGCGAGTACACTCACCAGGATCCCCAAGCCATGACCCAAGGAGAGCAGAAGGGGAAAGGCCTGAATGATGATGATGCGGCGCAGCAGCAGCATCAGCCTGTTGAGATGAAGGATGAGACGGGTACCTATTCGGCAGAGGATCAACAGGAGACAATCCAGATGAAGGATGTTGAGCCGAAACCTGTTGACGAAACTGTGCAGCGTAAGGAGGATAAGGAGGAGACTACCAAGGGCGAAAATGCCCCTGGCGTGGAGGAGAAGGAGGATGAGGGCATTACCAAGAACTTTGACGCCCCGGACGTGGAGGAGAAGAAGCAGCATGGGGGAGAGCAAGAGCCAGAGTCAAAGACAGAGAAGGCCGCCGACGATGTCGAGGCCCCTGCTGAGGCAGGCACCACTGCGTCGCTCACCGAAAAGGCCAAGCAGGCGTTTGACCAGGCGTCCGAGAACCGGCCGACCACCGAGGCCCGCGACGAGTTCCTCAAGGCAGTTCGGGAGAACCTGGATGCTCCCAGCACAGCAGACCAGGCCAATTCTTCTGCGGGCCAGGAGGACGAACAGCACCAACAGCAGCAACAGCAGCAGAAGGCCCCTGAGGTTGAGGCCCCGGAGAAAACAGAAGCTGAGGGCCGAGAGAAGTCTGAAGTCGCCGCCCCGGAGAAGACCGAGGTTGAAGGCGCAGAGCAGGCTGCGGCTGCCACCGAGCAGGCGCCGGGCGAGGACGAGCAGCAGCAGCAGCAGCAGACCTCTGAAATTGAGGTCCCAGAGAAGACCGATGCCGAGGCCGAGAAGGCGCCAACCGAACAAGCCGAGGACGTTCCTGCTGACCAGGAGAAGGCGGCCCTTGACACCCAGGACGAGAAGTCCGCCGAAACCGAACAGCAGCCAGCGCCCGAGGAAGCAGAGGCAGCAGCCGCCAAGCCCCAGACGCAGGAGCAGCAAGCCACGTCCCAGGAGCCCGAGACCGTGGAGGGCGAGCCCAACGCCGCCAAAGAAGAGCCCGCCATTGAGAAAGGTCAAGTAGAACAGCAAGAGGAGCAAAAGGAAGATTCGGAGCTCAAACCAGACTTCTCCGTCCTCAAGAACGGCACCGTCAACAAGGGCGGCAACGTCGTCTCCCCCGATAAGAAGATAGTCGGCCGCGTCATTGAGGGCGCACTCACCCACCTCGTCGGCAAGAAGGTCGACGAGAACGGTGACATCTGGAGCAGCAGCGGCAAGGTGATCGGCAAGGCCGAGCCGATCCCGGACACGGAGCGCGACGAAATGTTCAAGGAGCCGGCGCCGTTCGAGAGCTTCCCCGACGCGGTCGTCGACAAGGACGGCATGGTTGTCAACGGCAAGGGGGAGATCATCGGCCGGGTTGTTGATGGCGACAAGAGCATTTTGAGGGGTAAGAATGTGGATCCGGATGGTGATATTCTGGACCGTGGAGGAAATGTAATTGGCAAGGCGGAGCGGTGGGAGCCAGAGCCTGAGAAGGAACCCGAGCCGGAGCCCGAGGTGGACAAGTCTATTCTGGCCGGGAAGCGGGTGAATAAAGCCGGGAATGTGGTTGATGGGAACGGCGTCATCTTTGGTCGCGTCGTTGAGGGTGATGTCAAGCGGATGGTTGGTCGCATGTGCGACAAGAAGGGCAACATCCTCAGCGAGAGCGGCGATATCCTTGGCAGGGCTGAGCTCGTCCCCGAGGGCGAGCGCGAGGGCCTGAAGGAGGGCCCGTTTGCTGAGCTCCAAGGCTGCACCGTTGCTAAAGACGGTACCATCGTCACGCCGGCGGGCGATATCGTCGGTCGGCTGACCAGCGGCGACGGTAAAATCCTGTTCGGGCGCACCGTTGACGAGGACGGTGACATCCTCGACAAGAACGGTAATGTTGTTGGCCATGCCGAGCGCTGGGAGCCGGAGAAGGTGGAACGCAAGAAGAACCCCATGTCAGGCCGCAAGGTCAACCGTGAGGGCAACGTCGTTGACGAGGACGGCAACATCATCGGCAAGCTCACGTCTGGTGACCTTAGCATCTGCAGCGGCAAGGTGATTGACGATGACGGAGACGTCGTCGACTACAAGGGCAACACCGTCGGCCATTGCTCTCTTCTTCAGGACATTCCCGTCGAAGAGCCCAAGGAGGATGAGTCGCCCGAGGAGAAGGAGAAGCGCGAGCAGGCCGAGCGAGATAGAAAGCTGGCCATACAGATGTCTGTCTGCATCGAGCAGTGCCTGGAGAGCATCCGGCCCATCTGCAAGATGATCACCGAGGTAAGCCTACTCTGATTTCTTCCATGGCCCCAATCATGGCGCTGCTACTAACGCGGACATAGAAAATCGAAAGGGCCGAGCGCACGCCGGAAGACGAGCGCGACGAGGAGCAGCTTGTGGCGGAGGTCCGCCCCCTGATCGAAGAAGGCGGACGCATCCTCAACGAAGCCAAGGGCGTCATCAAGGGCCTGGACCCCGACGGTCGGCTCGCGGCCAACGCCAAGCACAAGACGGCCGCGCGCGAGGCCACGCCCGAGGAGTACCACCTTGCCGACGTGCTCAAGGACCTGACGGGCGACGTGACGCAGTGCATCGAGAATGCCAAGAAGAAGCTCGAGGGCATGCCGCACGCGAAGAAGGAGCTGAACCCGCTCTGGGGATTGCTAAACGAGCCGCTCTTCCAGATTCTGGCAGCTGTCGGGTTGTTGCTGGCTGGTGTCCTCAACCTCGTGGGCAGATTGGTAAGTCTCGAACGGTTTGGAGAGGTGTCATGAGAAGTGCAAACGACTAACTTCCGACCAGTTGAGTGGACTCGGACTTGGCGGCATCATTGACGGTCTGCTCGGGACCCTGGGCCTGAATCGTGTCCTTGAGGGACTGGGTCTTGGAGGTCTCTCCCAGGGTCTGAAGGGCGGCAAGAAGGGTGGTGGTGGTGGTGGGCTGCTGGGTGGTATCCTGGGCGGGAAGTAAAGGCAACAAAGTTGCATGAAGGAGGGCTATTAAATGTTATGTATGGCGGATACAAGGTTCCATTTGATTTGTAGGGTCAGTAATGTCGTGATATGGATTCGATTTCTTTGCGTGTATCCTGTCATGTCAATCAACGTCTTGACCTCCCACTTTCAACGTCGAAGATTGAGCCCTCTTGAGAAATACTCCACTAATTACATAGCGTTGCTGATACTGTAACCTGCCGAAGATCAGCGTTGTGCGGATGACACCTGGCCAGCCACCTGCTGACAGTCAAAGGAAGCTAGCTCCACTGCAAAATGCAAGGGAATCTCGGAAACAGAACACCTTCTTGCTAGCTAGCGCTGCACATCCTTCAACAATCGCATCATTGCTTCCGCTAACATGACAATTTTCCTATGTGTCCACAGGATATCTCATTATACGGCCCTTCCTGTATTCGCTATCCCAAAAATCTATCAACCGGCCATTCTGCTAAGTTGCTTCCTTTCCCCTCAAACGTAAGATACTGTTCCAAGCGATAGAACATTCACACGTTCGCATCAGGCACCCAGTTCCCCTTCTCATCTTTATGCCAGGTTAGCAGGCGATCATCGGGCCGCGACTTGACGAGCGTCGTCGGCACGACCACATCCCATGACTCGCCTTGCGGCCTTTCGCCCTCGGGGTTGCCGGTGCGCTCGACAATCTCGGCGATAGGCAAGTACTGCCCGCTCGTGATGGACGGGAGCGGGCCACCGTTCCACGTCTCACCGAACTGCATGAAGCTTTGTGAAATGCCTTTGTCAGTATATCTGATGTGCCTCGTATTCTCTTCCGAGGTATGTCTTACTGGTCGATACTCCCCTCAAAATCGCGCCGAACCGGGACGACGACGCGGGCAAAGCCAGCTACACGGAACTCATCGACCACGGGTTCTGGGTCGTGCACGGTGAACTTTGCCTTCCGGTGTTCTTGCGGCTCAGAAATAGGGGTACATAACATACACTACCGTCCCATCCGTATTGCGGGTTATGAAGGGCAATGTGACCTCGGCCACTTATTCATTTGATCCCATTCGAACGCTTGCTCGAAGAAGCGCACGTAGACCCCCTCGGCTTCCGCCTCGTAGAGGTCAATTTCTTCGAATCCGGTCAAAGACTCCTTTGAGATTGAACCGAAAAGCTCATAGTGCTGGGCGGTAGAATTGAGATGCAGTTCTTCTTGAGCTCTGTCTTGATGATGCTGAGGTTGGCAGGGAATTCTTCGAGCGTCGCCGGAGTCAGCCACTTACTGTACTTGGCACGAAAGGAGACAAGACCCAGAGCTTTCTTCAACGGCAAACGAAATACTCACGTCCTCTGCAGAAGGAACACCGCTATCCAACTTGATTCTCGCCAGCTTCTCCTCATACTACGCCACCCTCGCCTTATATGCCGTCGTCAACTTTGCATGTGTCTCATTCTGCCATTGCTGCACCCGCTGCTCCGTGCACCGACACAGGACCGTCACCTTCACGACGAGGTCCTTCATGCGCCACGTGTTGAACGCCCAGGGCGGAACACCGCCTTCGCCTTCGCCTTCGCCGCGTGTGACGTGGTTGACGATGGATGTGCTCCGCGACAGACATCCCAATCCTTGAAGCGGTAGGCCTCGGCGGCGACGATGACCTCGAGGAGGCTTTCTTTGTCCCACACGTTGGCCACGACTGAGACGGTCGCGGGGATGCCTTCCTAACCGGAAGGAATGTTGATCAGGGCACCATGGTCGTAGTCTACGCTCGAGTCGCCGCCGGCGGCGGCCTTGGCTTGGTCGCTGACGACGATGAAGTCTTCGGGCGGCGGGAGGACGTCGGTGGCTTGGTAACGGGTGACCAGCCTGCCAATGGCTGTTGTGCTTACCTCGCTGGGGTCTAGGGCGAACTCCATGGGCTTCTCGGCGAGGATGAAGGCCTCCTTGCTCATTTCGAACCGTGTAGTTGAGATCTGCTCACGCTCTCCGCTGGCGTTTGTCTCTGTTTCGGCAGGATCATGGCCTCGGATCGTGTTGTCTTGGTGTAGCTCCTCATCTTGCTCTCCGCCCTGAGGACGTTTCCACCTGGGCAATGTCGGCTCCCTGATATCCCTCGAGCGTTTGCCTGACGACGAAGTCTCCCACTCCCGAGGGTCCGATCTTGCCCTTGGTGTGCGGGATCCCCTTGCCGAGGGACTGCGTGTGAAGTGCAGCCTCCATCTCAGCCACGCCGGCCCTGCAGCCGTAGAGCAGAGCCGTTGCCTTTGAGATGACGGGATCTCGCCTAACCACATATGCATCGCTCGCACGGGTGTATGTGATATGCTCTGCCTCGGGAACTAGCCCCTTGAGCGCGGATATGCTACTGGCTTGCTCGCGACGGAGTGTGTTTACAACAATTGGGAGAGTACGTTAGGGACCTGGCTAGTTAAGCCTGCCATAAAAACCAGCGATCTGGAGCGAACTGGTGCAAACAAAGACTCTCAAAGTCGAGAGGGCCTACCGTTTTACTGGCGTTGTGGTAAGGTTCAAGCCTCTCGCTATGAGAACACCTCTCGCAGCCTCACTGAGACGCGACATAGGGGCGTCTTTGAATCGAGGGATCCTGTGGGCAGGCTGGACAGGGGCAAACTGGCCTTTCGGAGTAAGCGTACCAGCCGACGCGAACAGAGCCGTAGCCAGGTTGAATGCTCCTACAGGCTCCGTGGTCGCCACCGGTGGTGTTGGCGTGGGACCGGCTGTTGCTAATTCCGCCGACTCCCTGGGTCCTTCGGTTGGAGACTCCGGGAGGAAGATTCCCCTCCGGAAGGATGGGTGGCTTGACAGGCATGGATCGGTCGACGGCAATTGACCTCAGCGCACCTTGATAGTCAATCGTGCGGGCCATGACAGCCTTGGAAGTGCATCCAGGATCACTGGGACGCCAACATCTCCCTCGGGGCTAACACTCTGGAGTAGTTCGAGGCTGAGTCTCACAAGCTCTCCGATTTTCGTGTCTAGTTCGGCATGCTTCCGCAAGATATTCTTGGCATCGACCTCATTTCTCTCTGCCACCTTTTTAGCCTCTTCCTCTGCTTCCTGCGTTCCTCATCCGAGGCCGCAATCATGGACTTGAGATCTGCGGTGACTAGGAGGAGCAGGTTCCGCTTGCGATGGAGAGCGGCGTGTGGCTCCGTGGCTTGCATCCCTTCGACTACCTTCCACAGGGATGGAGAGCCGGGAGGAATCCACGTGCTGAGAGAGCGATGGGCTTGCAGACACTCATAGATCCCGTTTTTATACATGACCTTGTCTTTGACGCGGTCGTCCGTTCTGCAACCCACTCTGGCGCAGAGTGAGGAGGCGGGTCTCGATGATCGACGGCGTCGTCGTCATCACGGTATTTCGCAGCGCTTCGAATCAGCTCGAGGTCATACAGCTGGTTCGCTAGCGCCTCAATCGAACGCCAGTGTTCTTCCTATACCAGCAATCCTCAAGTCAGCTCTAAACCAGAACTCATGCCTGCTAGCAATGAACTTGACTAACCTGGACAACTTGATGGCAATGACAGAGTCTCGGAGCCCCCGGAGAAGAGTGGTGAACTCATCATTTATGATGACGTCGACGTCGTCAACTCCGACGTCAAACACGAGTGGCACAATGATTTCCACATCCTTTGTCGTCAAGGCTTTGATGGTTTCAACTTAATCAATCTTGACACTGAAGGCGCGGAGTTTTTCCTGGAACCTTGGGGCAGCAGTGTTCTTGATAAACTTGTCAGAGTCAATGGAACGCTTAGCCACAGTACGGATCTCGCCCCGGGCATTGGTTTTGGAATAGGCATTGGGAAGCGATTTCTGAATTCCTGAATCTTGAACTACAGTAGTTTGATGTGCCCACCAGTAGCAGCAGGATTATTAGCGATAGGGGCTAGGGGATGACCAAGTTAGTACTAATGTGGTCGAGTGGTAGTCGACAATTGCGAACTCAAGTCTAATGAGCAGGAAACGAAACAAAGCTTCAGACATGGTGAGCTAGATGCTGTTCTCTGCGACGAGATGAGGCTTGAGGCAGGTAATAAGCAAGATTTGATGTGCACAGACAAATTGGCTCGAAAGGCCGGATAGTCGGCCCTTGCATTAGTATTTACACTCATTCGGGGGTCTCCGCCGCCGGAGGGGATGTCTCTTGAATAAAGGGCAGGCGGAACCGCCCAAAGGCATTTCAAATTCAGCAATTAAGCATTCGAAATACAGTCCTCCGGTGGCCTCTGCGTCTCAACTGCTTAAATTGGACCAACCTCTTCTCTTGTCAAGTCGACCTCTCACAAACCACAGAAATTTGATACCGGTAACTGACGACTCCATGTCCTCACAGCAACACTTGATTGACGGCAGGCTGACAATTTGCTACCGAACTGCGGCATCCCAGTCCATTGATGATCCAAGGTACCTTACTTCTACCATGACCATTAATGACAGATGACAGACTACAGTGGGGGCGGGGTGTTGACTCCAGTTTACTCCTCCCATCTCAAGTCTCTCCAAACATCGACCTCCGAGTCATCATGACATCGCTCTAAGATACAGGATGAGTACGGGGCTCTTAGCTACCTTATTGATGGTATACGTCAAATCTTAGTACTCGACTGCTAATTATTACTCCCGTGTAAGGCACATACTTACCTGCATCCCTTATGCCCTTCCCGCAGTTATTAGTAAGGCTATGCGACACGGCGGTCTTCCTGATTAAGCCTGATGTCTCTGCTCTAAAGCTCTGGATTCTTTTGATCATTGCTACCTCATACGGGTTCGAATTAGGCAAAAATCATGGCTCGTATTGATCGCTACACTCAGGCTGCTGCAGAGCAGTTGCAAGCTATCGCGCAGAGCTCATCTCCAAAAATCTACCTAGCTTAGATCTGGCTCACTCATACCGAACATGGGAAATAATTATGGAACAACTGCAGAAGCCCGCAACAATCCTCGAATACGACAAGGAGGGCCCGAAGCTCATCTTTGGTCTAACGGAAGCGGATCAATAGAGATTGGAGTACTAGAACTGGGCTGCTCTCGAGCTTAATCCAGAATCCAGACGCTGGAATCCAAGGAGCGCTAAATGACCAAACAAAATGGACGAGTATCAGAACTGTGGCTTGAGCCTCATCCAACATCGGAGACTGCGGATGCACTATACTGCGGATAAGGCCAACGGTGTTGGATATCTAATACCTGATAACCCAATGTTTGGGAAGGTCATGGCAGTTATTGCCATTGAACTCGCCGACCGAACCATGAAACAGCGCCTGACAGCTTAATTCTTGCTCTTGCCGGCCGAGCTCAGATAGCACCTCTTCCTTGCGCAGCGGAAAGACGTGGTTGCGCTGTTGAGAGTGGCTCAGCTACTGCCTCTGGATGTCAAACACACCACCGTCGACGTCCCCAGGCTGGTTAAAGGAGCAGAATTCGTCATCGGAATGATTTCCTTGATTGGTGACATGGTCGCCGCCTACAAGATATACACTGGGGCAGACCTGTTCGGCTACCCCCTCACAAACGTGAAGAGAGGCGGCATTGCCGCAACAATTTTGCTGCCTTTTATTGGGAAACTCGTGATGGGGGTGAGCCTTTTACAGGGAGGCACGTCTCGCCAGGCTGTCTGGACGGGACGCTGTGGGTTGGTCAAGAGCCACTAAGGCCAGCGCAGTGATTGCCAAGACTCGCAGAAGCTTGCTGCTTTGCGCAAGGCCGAGGAAGTCATCAGAAAGGTAGGCCACCTCAACATGTCGCTAGCGGACGAAGCGGCCAAGGCACTGGATGTGGTGAAGTCGGGCGGCGCCGGAGCGGCCGTGAACTTTGCCGTCGATCCGAGAGTCGCCGATGCGTTGGCCGCGCTAGTCGCCCGCTCCCAACTTCACGCGAGCTTGGATGTCTTCGGGTTGGAACGAGTCCTCTGAAAAGGTGACAACAACATAAAAGGCCAACTCATGGAAGAGCTCCCGGAGTTCCGAATCGTGCCCTGGTTGTGCGAGCGTTGGGGCGGGTTCTCCTTGGGCCTCAACGTCCCGGACGGAAAGCAGCTAGAGTTCATCCCCGGACATCTCATCGTACGTCCTTTCTGCGTCCTGACCCCGGAATTGCGAAGTCCAGCTTCAAAAACAACCAGCAGAGAGACCTTACGAACAACCAACTAACGGACGGAATCCTGGGCTATCACCACGATGGGGTACTCAACACCCTCGCCGTCGAAGCAAAATCAGGTCCAGAAGCCGCCCGCGAGCTATCACCACCAAAGCAGAAGCAACAAATGTATAGGAAAAGCCGGGCTCCGCGCCGCAGCAAGGGACGAGTTGGCAGATATGCGAGCCCAAGCAAAGATGGAGGCAAAACCACGACCAGAACACTTCGGGAGTTCGTAAAGTCAACCAAAAACTCTCAGCTGGGCAGCCAACTCCGCCGCGACATTGAGACCCTTTACGAGCACGGCGGCATCCGCATTGGTGGCGTAGAAACCGTGACACCGATCAGTTTGTCACCGACGAAGACCAATTTCTTTGCAGTCGTGCCTGCGAGATTGAAGCCGAGTCTCTTGGGCGCATTTCGAAAGCAGCTGGAGGCCGCGGGGGGTAAGTCTGAGATTATCGCTGCCGAGGTGGGCACTGCGGAACTCGATGCTGCGGCTAAGCATTTGCAATTTCTTGCGAAAGAGATGGGAGGCCCAGTTCCCCATCCTGGGCAAGCCCCTACTCCGAAGCCGTAAGCCTGAAAAGCTGGGTACTTCATTGACCTTCGCGCCAAGAAAGGATCTAAGTGAGGGAAAGGAAGAATGCTGCGAGGAGGATGGAATATGTCTCGGAGTCTTCCGGCTTTGCTCTTGTGCAGGTGGAATAATAGAGTGACTGCTGGTCGATCCTTGGCATGTACAAGTACATTACATGTAAGGTTAGAGGTGTGATCTTAAGCTGGGTGTGTGATTGAGGGAGGTTGGAACGTTAGCCACCTCGCCACGACGTCAACCTTGCCCACCACAAGTGCATTTTACTTCTCTCTCGACGACCTGTTCCCCCGACAATGTCTTGAACCCTAATATCGTTCCTGCGTTGACTCGGCAGGTACGTTGTCTTAGTACCGCGACCGGCGATGAGCCGGGTTGATACGCAGATTGCGATCTGATACGATCGTCTTTACTGCGAGTTGTCGCCGCTGACCATGGACTCGGCAAAACGTGTACTCCTACCCTGGCTTGTCCGTCAGCGTACATCTCCATCCAGCAGGTACCGGATCATGAAAGAAAATAGGAGGAATGGAATGAACGGAAATAAAACACCAATGTCAGCAGCGTCAGAGGCATCGCGAATTGTGAAGAGGTCATGGGAAGGTGTTGCTGACAGCACCACCCGTCTTCCTCCCTTGCTCGTGCGCCTTGTACGAGAACGGGGTTATGGTTTACGGATGGATGGATGGAATTTATTTCGCCCGGAGGCACGAAGCCTAAAGGGCCTTGGCACGCTAACTACATCCGATTCGTTGACGTTCGGTCATCAACTCGTACAAGGTTAGGGTTTACCCGCTGCAGAGACCCTGCCACGTGCTCACGCGTCACCTGACAGGGGCGCGTTACTCCTTCCCTAGGCACTTACAACCCAACCTTGACCTCATTTGCACCGGCCAATCCACTTTCTCCTCCCCTCTGCAGGCTTGCGTCTTCGGAACTCGACCCCGCCACTTAAAGCATCGTTGCGATCCGAGTTCCCACATCGATCCAATCCATCCAATCTGAAATCATTTGTTTTACGGATACATTACTCGGTACCGGTTGCCGGTAAGAGTCGTGCCACTGACCCGCAATGCCGCGTCAAACCAAGCGGGCCCTAGATGTGGTCGACCTGACCGGCGATGACCGCGACCACCGGCCCGCCAAATCGCCGCGTTATGCTTCGTCGTCGTCCACTGCGCACTTCTCTGCTCCCGGGCCCAACCAGTCATCTTCTGCTGCTCACTCAAATGGACCCTCCAGTTCTGCCCCGCGTCCGAGTGGAAGCCAGCAGTACCTCGGCAATGATGAGGTCGAGCCCTCAACGCAAGATCTCACACAAAGAGATGATGAACCCCAGCTAGAGCTGTATGGTTCCTTCGGTACGTGTCTGTCCAACGCACCTGACAAAACCGGTGCCAGGTTGACAATGAGCAGATGGCAAGATTGTGGGTGTAAGGTACTACAACGGCATGGCCACCGCTGGCGAGGTGGTGGTCTGCAGAAGAGAGCCTTCTAATCAGGCAAGTCAGACATGCTTACTTCCAGATGCTGCTCCTCCGTCGTCTGACAGTCTAAGGTGACAGTATGATTCCAATGCAATCCGCGTGGACAATGTGCTTGGAAGACAGATTGGTCACATTCCCAGGGCAGTAGCCGCGAAGCTTGCCCCATACTTGGTGAGTGCCGTTGCAGTTGACGACTCTGGCCTGCTCGCGAGTACTCACACCAGCCAGGACTCCGGCGAGATAGCCATTGAAGCTATACTTACCGGCGAGAAGGGTTTCTATGACTGCCCCATCCGCATTCGCATCTACGGAACTGGCGACGCTCTTGCGCGGGTGGATTTGGAGGAGCGTCTGAAGAGAGACAAGCTTGTTAAGGCCACGCAGCTCAAGCAGACCCGGAAGGAGAGCGAGCAGCAACGGAAAGCTATGGGCTTGAAGAGCGGCAGAGCTACTGCAGGGTTTGCGGCCACCGAGACGGAGGTGTCTTTGGAACAGCTCGCCCAAACCAGCCAGGCCGTCAACCTCCGCGCCGGAGGGGATATTGTCCAGACGCTGGCCATGGACGAGAACCAGCTGTCCAAGATGCCCGAAGCTGAGCAACCCGACAAGGTGCGCGCCAAGCTGTTGCCGTATCAACTTCAGGGGCTTGCCTGGCTTATGGCCAGGGAGAATCCGGCCTTCCCAGAGCCAAGTTCTCCGGAGTCTGTGCAGCTCTGGAAGCGGGATGCCAAAGGCCGGTACGTCAACATCGCCACGAACTTTACCGTTGCGTCCGTGCCTGGTCTTTTGTCTGGCGGCATCCTGGCAGACGACATGGGTCTCGGCAAGACTCTCCAAATCATTAGCTTGATCATGACTGGCGGGCCTGGAAGCACGCTCATTGTTGCGCCAGTTGGCGTCATGAGCAACTGGGAACAGCAGATCAAGCGCCATGTCTACGATGAGCACGCGCCCAACGTTCTCATCTATCACGGGGCTGCTCGCCAGGCTGCCGCCAAGTCGTTGAAGGACTTTGGGGTTGTTGTCACAAGCTACGGCATCCTGAGCAGCGAGGTAGCCATGGGCGGCCCCCTATCCAAAGTTGACTGGCGCCGTGTGGTCTTGGACGAAGGCCACACCATCCGTAACGCCAAAACAAAGGCAGCCGAGGCAGCCTGCGCGTTGAAGGCGCAATCCAGATGGGTGCTCACCGGCACGCCAATGTAAGTTGTCACGCGTCTTATCTGGAGCTTTGCTGACATGTTGTCTCAGCGTCAACAATATCCGCGACCTTCACTCGCTTCTCAAATTCCTTCGTATCACTGGAGGCATCGAGCAGTCAGACGTGTTCAACGCTGTCATCTCCAGGCCTCTAGCAATCGGAGACCCTCGCGCTGAGGCCCTGTTGCAATCCCTCATGAAGGACCTTTGCCTCCGGAGGCGAAAGGACATGAAGTTTGTCGATCTCAAGCTTCCGCCGAAGACAGAATATATCCATCGCATTACCTTCTGGCCGGACGAGAAGAAAAAATACGAGGCTTTGCTGTAGGCGCTTCCCTTGGACTAGCTTGAAAGTTAATGCTAACAGTTATCAGTTCCGAGGCGCAGGGCGCGCTGCAAGAGTTCCAAAACATGTCCAAGTCGGGTCAAAAGGGAAGGTTTCAAGGCGTTCTTGAGAGATTGCTACGCCTTCGCCAGACGTGAGTGTTCCTCCCTGATCTTTGAGTCCCACAGGCGGCCTGACCATGACAGATGCAACCACTGGACTCTGTGCAAAGAACGCATCACCGATCTGATGAAGCTCATGGAAGAGACCGGCGTCGTCCCACTCAATGATGAGAACCGCGCTCTCCTGCAACAGGCCCTTCAACTCGTCATTGAGAGCCAGGAGGAGTGTCCTGTCTGCATGGATCCACTGAACGACCCTGTCATTACGCACTGCAAACATGTCTTTTGTCGAGCGTGTATCTCCAAGGTGATTGAGATACAGCACAAGTGTCCCATGTGCCGCGCAGAGCTTTCTGAGGACAAGCTGGTTGAGCCGGTACCCGAACACTCAGCCAAGGAGGATGAAGGGGGCTTGGACCCGGAGACCAAGAGCTCCAAGACAGAAGCACTGCTCAAGATCCTCCAGGCTACGCTGAAGAACGAAGGGTCCAAGGTCATCATCTTTTCGCAGTGGACATCCTTCTTGACCGTCATCCAGCGTCAGTTGAACGAAGCAGGTTATACCTACACGCGCATCGACGGCAGCATGAACACCACCCAGCGCGACGCAGCGATCCGCGCTCTCGACCACGACCCGGCCACCCGTATTATGCTTGCCAGTCTGAGCGTGTGCAGCGTCGGCCTGAACCTGGTCTCGGCGGACACGCTTGTGCTCGCCGACAGCTGGTGGGCACCGGCCATTGAGGACCAAGCGGTTGACCGAGTTCACCGTCTCGGCCAGACAAGGCCCACGACGGTGTGGCGATTGGTCATGGAGGGGACGGTCGAGGAGCGGGTGCTTGATATCCAGGCGGAGAAGAGGGAGCTTGTTAACAAGGCTTTCCAGGAGAAGCAGGGGAAGGGGAAGAAGACGACGGAGACGAGGATGGCGGATATACTGAAGTTGCTTGCCTGAGATACGTGATATACCGGATGAGAGGCGGTTTGTGTGGTGTGCGACTCAGTTGCGCATATGGGAATAATGTATAGTTATTTGATAACGTTACCCATTTGGGATGACGGTAGATTGAAGGGCACCGGCACAGTTGTCATGATTGCAGCATGGATTCAATGCCGGTCAGTTTTCTGCTACCTAAGGCACAGTGTGCGCTTCATTCTTCACAGCATATAATACATTTGTGGCAACTAAGCCGAGCGGGCGCAGCACGAGAGCGGATGCCTTGCATGTAAAATAGCTTGGAGGGACCGCTTGCCCTAACTGGGCGGGGCGATTGCCTTTGCGGTGTAAGATCAACATAATATAACGTTATATATACTACATTTGTGATGCTCAGGGAGAGTGGGCTCAATTAGCGGTATTCCAGTCTGAACACACGAAGACCTACAGTGATGCATCTTCCATGCCATTTCCTTGGGGCGAACCTGGTTTTGCGCCGACCATGCACAGGCGACGCTGTGCAATTACCGACAGCTCGCCTGTTTTCCCTTGAATGTCCCAAATTGTTCTGCGATACCAGATGTCTCGGCAATTTGCAGGCACTGAACTCTGGCACGTCGCCTGTCGACGAACATCGAAAAGCCCTGACTTAATCTCTAACCGCCGGTATTCAGATCTTGCGTGCGAAAAGTGTAGGGCTGAAACGGCAAACGTCCCCGAAAGTGTGGTTGACGATCTGCATGGCTACCCGCCCCCGGTACTCCGTACCGAAGTTACTTTGTAGCTGCTGGCGTTTCCGAACGTCAGGTCAACCCTACTTTTATCTTGGTGCTACCCCATTTTTTTTTGAGAATCAGGCAGTTAGCCACGAGAGCCAGAAACCATATCCTACTACTATAAGCAATATAAGATATGCGCGTATGCGCTCACCATAAGGGGTAGTGATCGAGGCTCCTGATTCTTAAATCTACAACGCGATTGATGATGCGGGTAATAAGCGTAGAGATATTGACTGGTTCCCTTTTTCCCTTTCGACTCGAGGTTAAAGCCCAGATTTGAGCTCTACCGTTTGTACTCAGTCGATCCGTACACCTCCACTCAGGCTCGGAGGTGTACGGATGGACTGAGTGCAAACGGTATTCAGTAGTATTCCTTGGCATTCGTTGGCAAACTTACGAGTGATATCTTGTTTCGAGACCTCAAAGAAAAATCATCAATATCTCTACGCGTATTATCCGCATCATCAATCGCGTTGCAGAATCGTACTTAGAAGACCCGAGTTTACTACTTCCAATAGCGGCCGTGTACGCGCATGCCATATATCGCCTGTACTGCGTAGATCTAGTTCTGGCCCTCTGGCCAACTGCTCTGGTTTTAGGGTGGGTGGCAGGCTCGATTTGAAGTGGGGTTGACCTGACGTTTGGGAAACCATGTGGGTTGGAGATCTAGGCCGGCCCCCCCCCCCCCCTCTTTCTCAGCCCCCCAAACCATGAGGGACGTTTCACAGACTGGTGCCGACCCGCTCTAAGTGATGGGACAAATGCAAGGGGCGGATGAATGGCTTCAATCTCAAACGGTGGTACAAGTACCACAGTATGGCGTAGGGATTCTGTTTGCTGGCGCTTGGGTCCATCACTTCTCTGGGATATCTAAAGGACGTGTGAGACAACCTAATGACGGTCGTTAGGACAAAACCCCCGGCGAGACGGAGAGATTAGAAGCGCGATTGTGTCTTATGAATGGTGCCTTTTTGTTTCTACTGTACTTCTTGGCTGTCTTTGGTTATTTGGGTGTTCTCATTGAAGGAGGCGCACGGCTGTTTGCTCTTGGTTAATGTCTGAAGGCCTCCCTTTGCTACTCGGTGATGTCGCGTTGGTTCGAGGTGTCCGGCATTTGGCCTCGAGTCTCCTGGGCCTTCTGTTTTTTGGTCACACCACAGCACCTGTGCCTGTCGCGCTAGAGACAGGACTTGACTTACCTTCTGTCGCTTTTATTTTAGTCTGACCTCTCAGCCTTTGCAAGGCTCCGCAAGTTTCTTTTTGCATGTTTCGTTGTTTCATGTTTCGACGATCTTTAAATTCTAGCCACTCATTCAGCTGCGCCCGGCGGGTAAACAAGCCCCCTTGATCACCACTTGCTCATTTCTCATTCTCTTCAAGAGAAAAACACATTGTTCCCTGGAGGACGACTGTTTTTCTCGTTTCTGGCATCGATCAACCTTCTTCTTTGCATCGACTTTCCACTCTTTTTTCTCTGAGGGCTGGACTGGGCCGTCTTTGACGAAAGATGCGCTCCCCTTTTCTCTTCAAGCTCGGCTTGGCGACCGCCTTCGCCTCTCTCTCGACAGCTCATACCGCGTTCACTACCCTCTTCATCGACGACGTCAACCAAGGCGATGGAACCTGTATCCGCATGTCCAAGGAGGGCAGTCTCTCCACCCATCCCATTGCCGGTGGCCTCGACACCGAGGACATGGCGTGCGGTAAGCTGCCAAGATCTCTGCTTACACTGCATCTGTTTCATGGTTCAAGAGAATGCTAATGAGAGCACTTCCAGGCCGAGATGGTCAACAGGCCGTGGCATACACATGCCCGGCCCCGGCTGGCTCCAAGTTAACTCTCGAGTTCCGCATGTGGGCCGATGCCTCGCAGCCGGGCGCCATCGACCCCTCCCACAAAGGTCCCATGGCCGTCTACCTCAAGCCCGTTTCCGACATTCAGTCCGACTCAGCCGCCGGCCCGGGCTGGTTCAAAATCTGGGACGAGGGCTACGACGGGGCCGCCCAAAAGTGGGCCACCGAGAAGCTCATCGCCAACAACGGCCTCCTCAGCCTCAACCTGCCCTCGGCCCTGCCCACGGGATACTACCTCGCCCGCCACGAGATCATCACATTGCAGAACGTAACCAACGAAGTTGTTGATGCACAATTTTACGTCGGATGCGCCCAACTCTTCATCCAGGGCACCACCACCACCTCCGTTCCCTCCGACAAGCAGGTCTCCATCCCCGGCCACGTTGCAGCCGGCAACCCGGCTTTGACCTTCAACGTCTACAAGGATGATCCGAGCACCTACTCCCTGATCGGACCCGAGATCTTCTTCCCCACCATCTCCCCCGCCATCGCCAATACCAAATCCCAGCAAACCGTGGAGCAGACCGAAGGCGCGGTCCCCTCCGACTGCCTCCTCAAGAACGCAAACTTCTGCTTCACCGAGGTCCCCTCGTACGACTCCGAGGCCGGCTGCTGGTCCTCGGCCGAGAACTGCTGGAAGCAGCTCGACGCGTGCTACAAGACGGCCCCGCCGACAGGCAGCAAGGGTTGCAAGCTCTGGGAGGAGCAAAAGTGCTCCGTCTTGCAGCAGGCTTGCCAGTCGGGCCAGTTCCAGGGCCCGCCGGACGCGGGGAAGAAGTTGGGACAGGACGGGGTCGTGAATCAGCCTATTCCGGGGGGCAAGATACCCGCTGCGGTGAATGTGAATGCTGCGGCTGGTGGTGGCGGTGATGGTGGTGGACAAGAGGCCGAGTCCACGCCGACTTCAACTTCGGCCGCCGCGGCTGCGACAAAGACTTATATCTCGAAGTGCATGAACCGTCGTCGTGATCGCCAGCTGCGGAGGAGGTTGAGCTGAGGGGTGCGCTTGTTGGTGGCGCTCAAGTCACGAGGAACGGGTGGGTGGGTGGGTAGGTGACGGCGGCTTGGTTCGGCGTCGGTTTTATTCTTACGGGGCCTGTCTCGGCATTGATCTTCACTTCTGGCTCGGGCCCGGTCCCTGACACTTTGGTCTTCTCTTCGCCTGTACTTGTACGATCAGTTCTTTCTTTTCGAGAGCGGCTTGGTACCTCATACAAATGTGCCTTTCCGGACCAAGACGGTCATAGCTATAAAGCGTGACGCCCTTGTGTGTGTAGTTGGAAATGCCACCGGTTGGATTGACAGCCCGCAAATCAGTCCCCATGGACAGGTCTGTCGGCAGTTAGAACCTCGCTGCTTACCCCAATACAGCATCCAGTCGGAGCATGGTTCGAGATTTTGAAACGGACCCCTTTAGCATGTCGTGCACGTCTCTCGGCGCTTGCAAACCATCACACTAAGTTTGTTGTTTCCCAGTCACGGTCGTGTTCGGTCATCATGACACAGCAACGGATTGACTGGTCGGATCTCGAGACACTGCATCTCAGACACATCAGCAGAACCAAGCAGAGCGGAAACGGCAGGAGTGGAGATGGATCTATTCCTTCAGCCCAATGCCACCCAGCTATGGCAGATGCACCTGGATCACCCATCCGGTATCCGCAACTGTGCCCCGCGTCACCATTATCACAATTTCAACCGCAGCCGTCTTGACCGTTCGCCTCTCGAGATGCCGTGCAGGACTGTTGTATTTGTTACAGAATATAATACACAGATTCGTCGCTTCGTGGGTATCTATTTTCGGCTCCTTTTCCGTCTTACTCGTTGATCTTGGCCAAGATCCTGCACGTGGACACGCCCATGTCAGCATTATCATACCCACCGTAACAATAACGTCAACAGAGCAAAAGAAAAAGAAAGACTTACTCGCTATCCCGGAAGAGGTGGTATTCCTCCTCACCGACCTTGACAGGCGATCCACCGTACTGCCACAATCATCCGTCAGCACCCTCAAACCATTACCCCGACAAATCCCAACGAAGGTCTATCGGTCTGACATACCTGAGGAATCAGCACCTTATCGCCCGCCGACACGCCCATGGGCATGCGCTTGCCGTCCTTGTCCAGCGCGCCGGGGCCGACGGCCAGGACTTTGGCCTCGTTGAGCTCTTTGACGCTCGACTCGGGCAGGAAGATGCCGCCGGCCGTCTTGGCCTCGGCCTTGATGCGCTGCACAAGCACGCGGTCGAGCAGCGGGACGAGCGACTTGATGGAGCGGAGCGAGGTGGCCTTCAATACAAAAATGACCAAGTCAGCGTGGGTTTGTGTTGAGGGCGGGGGTTAAGAAGGGATTGAGGAGTTGGGGATCCGGCAGGCTCCTTCAAGGCATCGCATCCCGTGCCGCGGAGGAAGAGGAGGGAAGCTCCCCGAAGCAAACTCCTTAGGGGATGTATCACGAAAAGAGCCATGCAGGGCAGCAGGGAAGCAAACTGACCATTGTGTCTGGAGTATAGTGTGCTGACTGCAAAAGCAATCGAGTGTAATGGTGTTCGAAGAGGTGAGGTAATTGGATCTTTGCAGGAGCAAGTCGGGCAGAGGGTTGTCCAGAGAGAGGAAGCTCTGTTTTCACTTCGGCAAACAGAGCGGATCACGATCCGGGGAGAGCTTCTAAAACCATCTAGAATGTCGCCGATTTTTTAGTGGGTCCCGAGCGCTGCTGGTGCGCATGCCAATTGATGCGCACCTGGCTACTCCACAAAAAAGCCTGATTGGCGGCCGTGATTGGCTGTGGAAGGCAAACGGATGCGGAGATTGATGAACCGGGCGGCTTACCCGTTTGTTGATGTCGGTGACTTGACAGAGCGTCTGATGAAGAATAACAACTTAAAGTATCAGCAAGTGCACTCACGAGCTTCATACTAAAGGCTGATTTGTTGGAGTTTTGCTTCAAAATCATGTATGACATATACCAGAATCCGGTATAGTGAACAATGAAGGTCAACAAGTGTTTCCACTCAGTTTCCGACTCTAGGGACTCGACACAGACCTCCTGAAACATGAAGCGACGTGATTCCTCAGGCTCCAGGCTATCATCCTTCAAGTTCGACAGGGCGCAAGACACCACATGGCAGTATGCGAAAAGATTTATGAATTACGACCCCGAATTTTATTTTACTCGCTGTACTGTATTGTAGGCTAAGGATGCAAACTACTTACATCTATCCCTGAGCATCACTTTCTCCAACGCTGAGGTCTTCCCAACCTGTGAATGCTCAAATTGATGGTCGAAATCTATATGCGCCCCCTGATTCCCATCCCAAGTTCCCCGAAAACAAAAACGCCGCATAGTCCAACCCCGCAAAATAGACGACCGCTGCCCCTATGTTCGTATCCTACACACCAAACAATCCCACCTGGGACTTCCTGGGCTTCCGCTTCTTGATTCCGTAGGTGACGGTGCATGCCCTTCCCTCAACCCTTTCCCCATGTCCTTCATCCTCCCGTCACGTAAATTCAGTCCCTCACGACTTATTCGTCGCCGCAGGCGGTTCTAGCACATGCTTATGGTCATCAGCATTCACCACATGCCCGCCCTCCTGCCGGCAGATGACCGTGTCCGACACCCACGGATCCTCCAGTATCTCACTCATCTTAGCCCGCTTCTTGGGGTCCAGCTCCAACATCCTCCCAATGACGTGCCTGCTCTCCCGGGGAAGCAACCGGAGAATTCGCCACGGGCCGCGGATCACCTCCTTCCTTTCGGCGGCCGGCGCCTGTTGCGTTGTTCCGCCCTGGCCGTCAGCCGATGATGCCATCGTTGCAGTTGCAGGCCTCTCAGACTTGCTCCGCTCATCGTCGTTTACCGGCTTGTTGGCTTCGCTGCGAAAACTTTGCGGGTCGAAGTCGCGGGCCGGGATCTCGCTCAACGCATTCATGGACCGCGACGGTGGGAGGATGAGCTTCTTGGGATCGTGGCCAGGCGTGGGATCCGCTGCAAACAGCTTGAAGGAGTTGTCGGACAGCCTAGGAAGCTTCCAGGGGAATCGCCTAAGGGTCATGCAGCAGAAGATGATGGCCAATGACCAGATGTCGACGGCTTGTGGATCGTACTTCTTCTCATCATATACCTCGGGTGCGAGGTACGGGTCGGAGCCAACGATACCTGTGCCACCGTTAGACGTCCTGTTTTGCGGCAATTAATGATATCTTGCGAAGCAGACGTACCGGTTGCAAGGACAATGCTAGTTTCGAACGGGTATCTGAAAACATGGGCGCTCCCGAAATCGATAATCTTCATGATACCGTGTTCGCTGACCACCACATTGTCGAGCTTCAGATCCCGGTGTGCCAGGCCCATGCTGTGGAGGTACGTCACACCGCTGAGGATCTGCAGGAAGCAGCAGCTGATTTCCTCCCGAGACATCCTGCCCGTCATAACAATGGCGAAGAGGTCATAGGGCGCGTACTCCATCACTTCGTACCACTTGCCCTTCTCCTGGACGATATCAAGCGTCTCAATGATGTTGCCATGATGGAGAGACGACCCCATGCAGTACTCGGCCGTCAACTTCTTGACATACTCTCGCTCGGTTTCGTATGAGTGCCGAGGCCGGAATTCCTTGACGGCAAATACCACGCCATCCTCGGCGCGCTTCATCAGCCTGACCGAGCCACCCGCCCCGGCACCGAGTACCTTTCCCAGCTTTCCATACTTGGACGAGAGGCCGTGGTCGTCACCGAAGGGAATCTGCGCCGACTTAGAGCTCGGCGGGGTCCTGGCGCCGGATCGCACCGACGGCGCGGGCGATGCCACCCGCTTCACCTTGATACTGGGTCCCAGTTTGAAAAAGCGCTTCAAATCCGCCATCGAGCTGTTCCGACTATGCGCAAGGCCTTCGTCCGAGCCCCGCTTGTCGCCCAACGCTCTAGGCAGGCTCAGCGACGACGAGCTAGGTGAAGAACCCTTTTTTTTCTTCCTAGAGAAGATAAAGCGGGAATCTATGCCCTTCTGCGCCTGTCGCTTGCTTGCGGCGTACGGGTCGTCCATGTCTCCCGGCGGAGGGGCCTGCCGGGAATAGAACTGAGAGGCGGCACCCGCTCGTGACGGACTACTGTCGCGGGACGGTGGTACCGAGCTGGTAGGCGAATTCGAACCGCTTCCAGTGCCGACTGAGAACAATCCCTTACGGTGGCCACCAAGGGCTGTCTGCGTTTGCTCCCTCCCCTCGGAAGTTGCGGGCCTCCGCGAGGTGCGATCGCGGTCCGTCGAGATGTGATGGGGAACAACCAAACGTGCCGAACCAGGGGATGACGGCTCATGGGTCGAATCCTGAGGAGTGATGATGTCGGGAGCCCTGCCCGGCCGACCGTGGTTACCAGACGGCTCTCGTTTCAGCCCACTTTCAGTAACGTCCGTTCCGGATGGTGTAAGCGGTGGTGAGTGCATGTCGGGGCTCCGCCGGCTGGCGATAAGCTGTGGTGAACCGTGGGTCGTCGAGCTCTGGGTCGGTTGACGACTTGGTTCTCGGGACTCATCATCGCGGGACGTCGTCTAAGTGGGAGGTTAGTAGGGGAAAAGCTACATTGGGGAAACAAAGAATGCCGGGCTGGGCTGCAGCGGGCCGATCGCTTTAACGAAGGGAGAACAGCTTGGAAAAATGCCAATCTCACAGCCGAAGACGTATTTAGAAGACGGCAAGCCTCCAACGTCACCGCCGGTACGAGGCCCGACCGCAAGACGCGATGTGGAAAATACTCACTCTTGACGCTGGCAGAGACATCGGCTCGTAAGAAAATATATTCATTCTGCGTTCCTGGAGTGGACAGGCCCTCAATCTGTCGGAAATCTCGCGGATCTCATCCGACGTCACTTGGCCGGGGCTTCCGAGAGAGCCGCCTGCGTCAGCCAGCAGACCACTCGTCGATGACACATTGTCTGGTGCAATCTCTTCGATTGTCGACTTGAACCGTACGGCAGGATATGTTGGGGAGTCAACGTCCTGAGGATCTGGCGAATTCTCGGTCTGGCCTAGATGGTTTCCAAAAGGTGTCAGCCACCAAGCGCTTGCGATTGCTTCAGTTTTCGGATCTGGCGGCTGAGCATCTGTTTGCGTGGGGTTTTGTGATGAGGGGCAACGGTTTTACTCCGAGTTACCTCTTTTGCGAACCTCCCGGTCTTGGACATTCGACGCCATTGCTGGTCGCTCAGTGAGGAAGGTTGGTGCACCTGCGGGAGAGGACAGGAATAGTAACCGCCGGCGCGAGGATTGTCAAAGAATGCAAACGGCGAAATAAGAGGCCCGGGGGCCGGGTCAAAAGATAGATGACGGCCGTCCGAGCAATGTTTGAGCGAGGACGTTGCGGTTTGGTGGGGGCTCAGCTACTTGGCAGGTACATCATGCTCGGCGCCGTCGTGCCTGATGTTGGCTGGCAACTGTGGGCGGCGCAGGTACCCTCAAGGCCCGCTGCGGAAACCGAAGCAAGCCTCTGTCAGCAACACCGGGGTTGCTAGGACGGTTATTTCCGGGATGCGCCTGTGGATCTTTTTACTCTTGAAGTGCCCTGGCACAAGCTTTTCTGCAATGGGGTCTGAGATGGCATTGACTAGCGCGTCGAGCCCCCAAACTTTGGGTTAAGCAAGCGATTGCGTTAAGAAAAGAGGCCTTTTCGTCGTCAAGAGGGGTTTGATCGTGTTGTTCCGAGAAGCGGCCAGGAAGGCACAGTTCCCTTATCGGCTCTAATCGCAGGTTTTGATGTGAACCGCCTCTTCGGCTGCCCACTCAGCGGCTCCGTTATCAAACCCATCACAAGGCCGGCACGTGCGACTCGGATGACGACCTGATTTGAGATTTTCCGGATGCAAATGCACGCTCGGGCTTCGGGAAGAGTTCGCAATTCCGGGTCAATCGCTCGCCAACCTTGAACCATCCCGCCAAGCTCCGTCGGGGGGCCGCGATACCGGGACATGAGCCCGCAACAAAAAAGAAAAGCCAAAAAAGAACCCGTTCATCCTGTCCAATGCAGAGCCGCAAGCAAAATCACGAAGCCTAGTTTTACGTATCACGCTCGTACATGACGATATGAGACAGCGACGCCTGGGTTATGGACGTGAAGTTAATGCCACGTGTTGTCAGAGCTCCCAACATTCCACTTCCGCCCTAAAGATCCATGAACAATTACTGTACAGAAATGCCTATTGTACAGGAAGAGACAAGAAGCGCTCTTTCCCTCTATCATCACATCAAAGGACGATGCTCTTGGCCCAACCCGCTTCTGAAACAACCGTAACGCCGCAATGCCCCCCATCCGAGTCCGGAACACATACGTCTCTTCATGGGACGACCGCGATCCCTATCGACTTCGCCTGGTGAATGATGGATCGGCAGAGCCCTTCGAGCGACAGGCCGGAGAGTCGGAGCTCGGACTGCTTGATCTTTGCAATTTCGTAGACGTGCTTGAGGCTGATCGTCCCGACCGTCTCCTTGCCCGGGTTGCTCGCTCCTTTCCTTTTGCCCTTCTTGGCTATCGGGGCCTCGGCCGCGTTGAGGAGGAGCCACGACGTCTGCGGTGTCCGGACCTCGAAGTGAAACGTCCTGTCTGGCCTGACGGTAACCCGGACAGGCATCGGGGTGCCGGCGATGATGTGCTGTGTCCTCGCGTTAAACTCCTGTAGGCATTACGTCAGCGCGCTGTAATATCAGACTCGTCCTGGGCTCTGCTTGTGTGTGCCGACCTTGCAGAAATCCATTGACTTGATACCCTTGCTACCGAGCGCTGGACCGACTGGAGGACTTGGGCTTGCTTGGCCGGCACCGACAATGATCTTTACCACCTGATCCACGGCTCCAACGGCGGACCGTGCCTTGGACATCTTTTCGGTCGGAACTCCGCGGCTCAGAGACAATCAGGGTAGATGATTGGAAGGGTAGATCGGTGGTGTGGTGCGCTGAGATCGATTGCTGCCGGTCCCAATCGAGTTGTCGCCGGGCTCGAACCGCAAGACCCAAGTCCCCGAGAATTTGGACGGTTTCACGACTCAAGCCACACGTGCCAAGTCTCAGCCACAGACCCAAGCACCTCTTTTGTGGGCAGGGACCTGAAGGTGCCGCTGCACAATGTCCGTGCACTGGTGTCACAGGCGCCGCCAGTGACGTGGATGCCGCCACTAAAACGGTAACGGTCAGGGGTCAGTCAGGTAGCGTCCAGCTCCCAGGCCCCCCTTTGGTGTTTCTTTCGGAGGGGCCTTCGACAGCGGTGAATGATCCTCAACTCAACCTCCACATTCTCCGTACAATATCTCTGGTGGTTCCTCCTCCATTGTTCCTTGGCAGTTCTTCCAGTCCTTTTGAACGCATTCGAGCAAACGTCAGCATCATGTTCAAGTGGGCACAGCAGCAGTAAGAAGCCCGAAGGGGGGACCCGGGGACCGTGTACCCCGCCTTAGTTGTCTGTGGTCTGACTTACATCCAACAGGCTAGCCAACGTCGCCGGCACGCAGGAGCCCATCTATGGCCCCTCCGCGATTAAGTCGGTTGCCGAGGAGGCCAAGGAGACGCCTTACACAGAGACCACAAGGGACGACTTGAAATGGCAGGCCATGGAATCGACCAGCGTCGAGACGCAAACATTCTACTTCATGGCCGAGAGCGGGCAGCTCGCCTTTGCCCAGGTCCTCTATAGCAACGTGGCGTATGCGCCGTCTCATCTTGCTTGCTTTCCTCTGCTGACGCTTCTTGTAGCGGCATCCGAACTACCTGCCAGTTCAACTGCAAGATCTTCAGCCTCGATGGCTCGAAACCCCGCCTCTGGTCCTCGACGCCGTTGAGCAACCACGATTTCAGCGAGGACATGACTGGCTTCTACGCCGATGATCTGGCCGTCGAGCTCTCCGAGGATGGAACGACATTCACGATCAAGTCGATGAATGACGAGAATGCGATCGTCAACCTGACGATCAAACGGACGGCGCCAGGTTTCAAGGCGGGAAAGACAGGCAAGACGCTGTTCGGCACCGACCTTTCCAACCCGTGGGGATCCATGCGTCACATTTTTTGGCCGAGGTGCGTCGCCGAGGGAACCATTACCACCAAGGAGGGCCCCGTCGACTTCAAGGGCAGGGCATTCTTCTCGCACGCCCTGCAGGGCATGAAGCCCCATCACGCCGCGGCCAAGTGGAACTTCTGCGACTTCCAAGGCCCTACCTACTCAGCAATCCTGATGCAGTTTACGACTCCGCCGTCGTATGGTTCGACGGTGGTGGCGGTGGGTGTCATCGCCAAGGATGGCGAGATCATTGTGGGCGGCTGCGATAGCACGGTTACTCATGTGCAAACCAAGAGCGACAGCGAAAACGACTGGCCGGAGCCGGCTATCATAAAGTACACATGGGTTGGGACGAGCAAGGACGGCAAGCGGGTTGAAGCGGTCATTGAGGGCGCCCTTGAGGACAAGTTGGACAGGATAGATGTCATGGCCGAGGTCCCCGGCTTTGTGAAGACAATTGTTGCCAGTGCTGTTGGCACGAAGCCCTACATTTACCAGGTATGTTTTGGCCACACGGTCTCGATCAAACACGCTGCTGACATGGCCACAGTACTCTCCCCAGAAGACGAAGTTGTCTTTGAGGCTCAAGATCGGGGACGAGGAGGTTACCGAGGAGGGCGTCGTCTTCGCCGAAGCGACCTTCATTTCACAATAATAAGCAATTTCCTCGGTTGGACGGTGGGCTTTGGGTACTCTGTCGAGTTACTGGTCGTCAGGATTAGCGTTTAGGGTGGCCATCGTAGGAGACACGGGTTGCTCGCCATACAACTGCGCTATATATGGTTCCTGGGGTTGAGCATAGGGCGGTTTGCAACAGACAGGAAAGGCTTCGCTGACTACCTAATGAGATGGGCCCGCATAGTAACAAGGGCGTAGAACAGTTATCTTAATATAATTTTTGAACCTAGAGACAGATATTCTGTGTAACTCGGCTCTCAAGGACAAGGAAATTCTGCGTGGCGTTCGTTGATCGGACTAAAGAGCTCTTCAGGATTTTCAATGTAGGGACTTGTGATCGGAAAAGTGAGACGTTACAACGGAGGCTTAAGGCTCTTGGCTTTACCTAAAATACTCTATAACATTTCTTCCTCCTGACTTCGCCATGCAGGACGCTCACATCATGACAGCGGACATGAGGTTGCTTTTGATTCCCCTTCGGTTTCTATGAGTTTGGTTCAGGCCGACGAGGCTAGCCCCACTTTCTTTCAGTTCCCAATAATGGAAGGCACACGACGGCCCGCTCTCTCCATCCACCAATTACTAAAATTTGAAGACAACGCTGGCCTCAACTGACCTTGTCGGACTTAATTGTCAAGTTATCGTCGGCTTTATTTGTTCGGGTTGCATGAGAGCCCCAAGTAATGAAGAATGCCGCCCACCATTCCGCAGCGCGGCGGGCCCGGCGGATTGAAGCGCCCAGGCGTCGCTGGAAAGACAATTGTCGGTGCAAAGAGGCATAGGTAAGTGATGCCAATATCCTACAACCTTCTCCCACGAGTTTGTTTCGCTCACATGCTGATCCTGTCGCAGAAAGATTATCAAAGATTGCATTCGAGGTATCACGAAGCCTGCAATTCGGTATGTACAGCACAAACCGTGAATCAGCCCGTTGATGCGGTTGCTTGCTTTCCTCGAGCCGGGAAAGCGCCACACAGAAACTGGATCCCTGCTTTTGAGTTTATTACTTCCTGCTTGATTCTAGGTTTTCCTTATGTTCCGTCAGATTCTCTGCGTAACACCGGCGTTGTTGCTCTATGCTGTTGAGATCGTTCAACATGTGAATCACAGCTAACGAGCAAGGCGTCTGGCCCGACGTGGCGGCGTCAAGCGCATCTCCGCTGGTATTTACGATGAGGCGCGTGATGCGCTCAAAACTTTCCTCACTACGGTACGGCCTCTGAAACCCCCTCTCCCGTCTGCGGTAATGTCCAAATTCTAACTTGTCCCATAGGTGGTTCGAGACGTCGTCACATATACAGAGTACCGCAACTGCAAGACCGCTACAACGAACGACGTAAGCGAGCATGTCATGGGGTGCGACAGCAGTGTTGACTGTAGTCTAGGTGATTTTTGCGCTGAAGAGACTCGGTCGGCCCATTTACGGCTTTGATCCCGAGACGCACAACTCGAGTAGGGTCAAGAAGATGACCAGCAATGCGGCCCAGGACGCCGAGTGAACGAGACGTTGAGTCGAGCGCTCTTTGGGGATGTTCCTGACACGCTCGCTAGCGAGGTGGATGACTCGGCTAATTTTTTCTTGTTTGGAGTTGGGGATCAGGTGTTCGGAACTTGATGAAACTGATACCATGGTCTGCTGTTGGCTTTGAGTGCGGAAAACAATTTTACCCTGGTTTGTTGTGAGGGTGGAACTCACGTGGTAGGTAAACCCCATGTCTCTTCACTGTAATCATTTCATATTCTTTCTTTCTTTCCTCTTCCTCTTTATCTTTATCTTCCTCTTTGTCTCTATCTTTATCTTTCTCTTTTTTCTCCTCTTACCTTTATTCTTATATTCTAGTATTGTATCTTTCTTGGAAGGCTCCAAGAGAAGACCTCATACCTACAGGCCTGATAAAGGCCTGTGGAAGGCCATATTTGTGACGAATCTCGAAACCCCTACTTCTGAAAGGGACTCCTGAAGGTTTAATTTGACAACGGGTGAGGTTCGGTGAAGCCAAAGGGTTCACAACAAGCAATGTCCAAAGGTACCGACAATCTTACACTTGAGTTGCTTACTGGAGAACTCCCAAAGTCCTCCAGAACGAGTTGTCACGGCACTGGACCGCCGATCCCTAGGTCACGTGGCACATTGCACTTAGCTTCAGGTTCATCCATCCATAGCTTCCTTTCCTCTTCATAGAGCAACGCAGTTATCTTCCCAGACCTACTATGGTTCCGTGACACGAGTGACTATATACTTGGCAGAGCGTTCATGATCGCCCATGATCGCAGTCTACCAAGAGCTATCCTTGATCGCCTTGGGCAGCCAGCTACCCAAGTCTACCCTTGATCACCCGGCCCCCACGGCTACCGTGTGGAACTCGTGCGGTTCCTGCACTTCCTTAGGGGAACGATTGGCTCTGGGGTTCTGTCTTGTGCCCCACTGGGCCTGTACATATGGTTGGTTCGTGACACTATTCCAGATCCTGGCAGTGCTCTACACCAGGTGTCTAGAACTACAGTGGTTTCCCCCAAGATTCAAGAGGGCCAAAACGGTGGTTCTAATGAAGCCAGGGAAATCTTCGGCTACGTACAGAACTGCTAAAGGCTACAGGCCTAGAGCTCTCCTACCTACCTTAGGAAGGTCCTGGAGGCTATAATGGCTAAGAGGGTGGCAGAGGCTGCGGAGTGGAACGGTCTACTAACTGATGAACAGATGGCAACAGGGCTAGTGTCACGAACCAACCATATATCGAGGCCTAGTAGGGCGACGGAAGCCAATGAAGAGGCGTAACACTAGGGGAAAGCTGAGATGGGGCCTGCAAGAGGGATCACCGCCAAGGAAGTGAGCGCGGTGAGCGGCTCACCTGTTGGAAGTGAAGGCACTTGAAGCTCGGAAACTGGGTTGCCGGTATCGTACCCTGGTCAGGGGTAATACACAGCTGTTACACAAGGTCTAGGAGGCACCCAGGCAACTTGGGGAAGGAGAAGAAAAGAACCCTCAATTGACAGATTCTGGGCTGGTCCCAGGTACTCGAAAAGTTCACTGTTTTAACGGCTCCCATAATGTCACGGGTGGGCGCAACTGACCACTGCGTAACACCCTCAAAAGAGGGACCGTGGTTCGAACTGTCCAGTCGAACCAGGAGTTGCGCACATGAACCTCACACTGTCACTACCCGTGACACATAAAGCGTATCACCGTGGAATCGTGGCTGTTGGCTTTCCAACATCACCAAGATCACCGCCAAGAAGGTGATCGCAATGATCGCAGGTACGGAGGTACCTGGGGGAGGAAGCTGTATACAGTCTATGATCTATAGGCCTCCGGGCATCACTGTAGCTTCCTCAGTAAGCAACTCAAGTGCAAGATTGTCAGTACCTTTGGACATTGCTTGTTGTGAACCCTTTGGCTTCACCGAACCTCACCCTGTTGTTAAGTTATAACCTTCAGGAGTTGTGACGGGCACCACGGCAAGGTCTGGTCAGCCTGCACATACATATGATATTGCACGAAGAGAGCAAGACTACCTATCTAGCGTGTGGGCATGCGACCATGTCTTATGCAGATGCTGGCCCAGTGCAGGTTCGGTG